TGGGGGGGGGGGGGGTGCAGAAAGCTACCGAATCGAAAAGGTTTCTTGCATGTTGGTGATGTGGACGGGTTTTGACAGGAAAATGCATGGCTTGCTCTTCGGATTGTAGGAACCTACTGTCCGTATAATAACTCAAATGAAGTAATCTGTATGAGATTGTTTTACAGCTGCCCAATTGCACAACAAATGACTATGATGGCAAAAGGCAGGCATAAAAATGGTATTAAGCTAAACATTAACCATAATGTCTAATAAATGTGTTGTAATATGGAACCTTTTCATGCTGTTGATATCAGGTTTGAATTGTATCTAACTCAAATCAGCAGTCTAGGAAGCAATAAAACTACAGTGGGGCTGCATGTGAGACAGTGATAGAAGTGAGAGCATCAATTCGTATGAAAAATGAGCCACGGTATCGTGTCCCTGCTAGCCCAACAGGCTCCGATGTGCAGGTCTAAGTGACCTGCCTGATGACATACTCATTCTTGGAAAATTACTAATGTTCTGCAAGGTGAAAATGGCTATTAACAGGAATGAAGTGTCTGCACTTAAGCCTTCTTTGCTGCCTCTGTGAGATTAGCATAAAAAGGCACAGCTAGAATAAGGAGCCAAGCGTCTGGGTTAAACAGATGGGCTAAGCCAACGCTCCGTTTAAAATCTTAAAAGCCGTTTTTAGCGTTGATGAGTTTTTTCGGTTGCTGTAATACATTTTATTGGACCAGCTGGTGTAACTGGGGAAAGTAGACAAGCTCTTGGGCATGAAAGCCCTTCTCCTGGTCTGAAACAGAGGCAGCTGCACCCCCCACCCCCAATCTTAATAACAAAGCTGTCTCTGCATAAGGGTTGGAGGGCAGACAGGCAGCCGAATATATCAGGGCCTGGAAAGATTACAGCAAATGGGAAAACAAGAATCTACAAAGGAACGCTGTCAGCAGTGTCTCAGCATGAAACCAAGGCAATTTGAGAATAGAGAATAGAGAATTTGGGAATAGACCCCTCTGCTTTAGCCCCACATTTAAATGTGAAGCAGCTACCCTAACAACAACTTCTGAAGGAAGTCATCACAGCCATGATAATGGAAATTAGGAGGAATGTGTGGGTAGAGGCTTTATTCAGACACATCAGTATAGCTGGGAAAAATATAGCTGTTTTAAGGTACACAGGTGCCCCTATAATGGCCCTCCAGGCCTGTCCTGTAGCAGGTAAAACACGACTGGTAACTCCACAGAATAACTCAGCTCATTCAGCTGAGATGTCTTTCTTAAACTGGGTGGGATCACTCCCTGGAGAGGTCCCTCCAATAACCGTCTTGACCACAAACTCAGACAAGACATCTTTTATGTGACAACTCTTCACCTGAGCTGAGGCCACTCTTCAGACACAAAAATCAGCTACAACCTGCCTTACTTTCTGAGAGGCATTAGCATAACATCTCTGTTGCCCAAAGGATACAAAGAGCACCACAGCGCAAACACACTTACCGCCTCATCCCCCAGTGCCGATTTCAGGCTGATGCGCACTTTGATGGCATTGTTGTAATCTGTTTTAAAAAGAAACAAGGGCCATGTCAGAGCTGCAGCAACAGAAAGTTAGTCCTGGGACATGCTGGGATGGCCAGAATTTCCTTACAGGTCTCCCTGGCCAGCTTGGCAGGATTGATTTTGTTTCCCTTCAGCCACTTCTACTGCAAACATCCGCATCTGAGCTGCCAGTCAGACACATCTGGCTTTGTAGTAGATAGAACGAGAGAGCACAGATCAGACAGATTCTCTGGTCTTCCTTTGACTTCTATTAGAGACTGGCACAGCACGATAAGGGTTACGGTGCTCCCCAGTACTGATGGTGATTACAGGTACATGACTTGGGCGATTCAACACTCCATGTCACCACAACAGCCTGAAAAATGCATTTTTCCACTGTATTTTGTCCCTTTGAGCTCTTTTGTTTGACTAGTACATGACAGAAAACAAAACAGTAGTCATTTTTCTGTACTGGTTTGTCCTTACACCCCGAGTTCAGGGGCCTCAGGCTCCCAGGACCAGTGGCTCCCAGCCCTGCAGAACAGGCACGCCGCTTTCAGGGAAGCACCACGCAAGCCCAAGCCTCTGGTCTTTCTTCCCTCTGCACAGCCATCCCACACTCTTACCACTGCCACTATGAAAAGGAAAAGAAACTCCATTTCTGAAAACTGGGTGAGGCTGTGACAAACCCCATGTGTGCTGACTTCTCCAGCTTTGGCCATGATGAAGCCAGTCTGCCTTCCTATGAGTAAAATTTACTGCTTGGTGTATATTTCCCACAACCTTGCTTCCACGGGGAGAAGAGCCTTCACCAGCTACAAGAAAGAGGGACTTTGCTGGTTAAGGGCTGTGAGAACTAGCAAGTGTCTGTAATTCACCCACAAGCTGTACGTACATGGAGCCCAGTCTGTTCTCCAACCAATGTATCTGCCAGAATTGTTTATTTGCAGCCAGTTATACAGAGGTTCGAAGTAGCGGAGCAAAGGCGCTGCATTCATGTATTTCTCTCCTGTTAGTCTTTCCAGCGCTTGAGTCCAGGGCTCAGATCTGCCTAATTCAAGCAATTGTCTGTGTATGTAAAAGGAGAGATAACATGTTATTGTCATGTTCCATCTAGACATCTAGCAAAACAGTCTGCGATCAGTATCAAAGTTTTCTATTTTGCTTCTGAGTTTCCTTCTTCCTCCCATCATTCCTACTAATAAAAATAAATTATTTTCTCATTAACAGGCAATTAAACCTTTGATGTTTACCTACTCAGCTGATATAAATTTAGTAAACTTGTCAAAATAAACTGAGCAGACATATGCTAAATTTTCAGGCTAAGTTCATTCTTGGTGCAACCTCATTGACGCCAGAAGTTTTCAATGATGAATTAGGCTTTGTTATTTATTATGTGTGAGGAATTTGCTTTGTTACCTCAAATTGTCACCAGCTGCTGTAGAGTTGGTAATGTCACATGTGTGAAGAGGGCCAGTATGGTTAGCTGCCTTGCAAAGTGCCTCCTGAAACTGGAACTGATAGATGGTCCGAGTGTAATACCTAAAGGAAGGGCAAGGAGAAGGAAGGCATAGGTTTTGTTAGTCATCTGGCAAGGCAACCTGCAAGCCCTTGGCCTTTGGAAAGCTCTGCTGTGTCAGCTGGTGCTCCTGCTTGGGAGGCTGTACTGCAGGGAGGGAGGCCAACTGACATCTATAAGCTGTGCTGACATGGATTTAACAGAATGCCAAGATCAAATGCAGCAGAAGAGCCCCAGATCCGTTTGATGCCACATCAATTCAGAGTGAGTAAAGGTTTTTAAGGCCCAACTCTCACTCTGGCTGAGCCCTCTAAAATGAGATGGCTGGGACATGGAGGGACACCCAGAGTTAGTTGCTTCAGGGCTGCATGTGCATGGCCCAGGTGACAGTGGTATGGGGCACGTGCTCTCCTCAAGAGGCAAGCAACACATACAGATGTGCTGCCACTGGTTTGATGGCAATACAAAGCTTCTCCACTTGGCAAGAAGCTCAGCAGCCTCCTTGCAGCTCAGACATTGCTATGCAGCAGCCCCTGACGTCCACAGAAATATTTCCACTGAAATCAGTGACCTTCAGTCAGGACTTTAAACAAATAAGATTGTTTAGGTAGTCAGGGTTTGTTCTGTACCCAAAATGTAAGTCATGAACTCAACACTGAGCAAGGATGGAGCTACCTTATGAATGAATAATCATTGGCCACATGAAAGAGCACCGCAGGGTCGCAATAGGTTTCATCGTGAGGGACGGGTTCGACAACGCCAACTATTTGTCTCCTGGGGATGAAGGGAAAACACAGGATTTCCATTAATAGATAATAATTAAAAATAGCGTGACTCTGCTCCTGCTCCATATTGTCTGATACATGTGGGCATCTCTCTCACTTCCAAACACAAGAAGTACACACAGCTCCCAGTAATCTCAAATGAATACTGCTCCACAGCTGGACACCCCAGAGAAGAAGCTGCTTTGAAACTGATGGTGCAAGGAAGAAATTTGTATGGTAGCAGCGTGTGCAGGGAGTAATTAGTGGTGTGAAATAATCTACAAGACATGAGCTTCACACACACTTCATGCCCTGGCCCATCCCTGGGTAAGGGCATGCAGAGACTGGATGACCCAAAAGGTGCCCGGCCTGCTGTGCCACTGGGCTGGAGATGAGGGTGCTCTTTATTTTCCTCTCCTGAGAGCAGGTTTCCTGAGCAGCACTACGGAAACAAAACCATGTCCTAATTTCTGAAAATGGTAATAAGCTTACATGGAAATATTTTCTGTAAACCCGTATTTCAAGGTCTTGTTCCAGCAGAGAGCTTTGCAGTGCCGCTACAACAGAAGTGATAAGCTTCCCTGAACAATCTGTCATTCTCTGTTTCTCTGACATCTCTGCTACTTTTGAATAAATCGAAGCTGACTGACTTTTACTGTGGGTCAGGAGGCTTGCTTATATCAAGTTTTATTATAGATTTTGTTTGCTGACAGAGGCTCACTGTTTGTGTTCGTGTTAGAGGGCAGACTCCATTTTCAGTGTGGGGCTTGCTTGGTTTCTCTGTGGTTTTCTGTCCCCACGTTTTCCACCCCAGGAAATGAGAGACTCCAGCCTGAATCAAACCGCTTTTAATCTCGAGCTCCAGGGAGCTGAAAGTAGATTGGCTTGTGGGGATCATCTGAAAAGGCACCTCTGGATGTTACTTGCCAAGGGAACTGTATTTTCTTGACCAAGAAAGGTAGTATCTTAAAACACAAGAGTGGGAAGACTTAGTTTGGAGTCTTTCAGACAATTTGCCTCCAAAACCACTCTAGAACGGGGAGGAAATGCAAATCAGAGAAGTGTGCACAGATATTTGGTAGATTGAGATCTGTATGCTTCCCAGGCTGGCAAGTATGATGAACTTCACTCTCCACTTGTCCTTAAGGAGGTGGCGAGCAAACCAGAGCATACGCCCAAGGAGACTTACGGAAAGGCTGTGTTTAAGCTACAAAGATGTCCTGGGGCATACACCACCACGGGGACAGCAATGTTGATCCTGGGATCTGGAACATCTTGTGCAAAGACCACGGACTGCCTTTATCCAAGAAGCTGACATTAGAAACGAGGAGAAAGTCTGCCAAGAGGCAGGGTTAAAAATCCAGGGCTGAACACCATGCTACTGGGGATACACAGCTTGTGAGACCTCGTCTGCACAATGTTGGGTGTTCCTACCTGGCACTCTACTGGGCGTTGTAGAGAGAGAGATCCTGCACCATGGCAGGCACAGGCACCTCGGTATGTTGACTAACTAGGAAGGGATGGTTTTGCAGGATCATTTGCAAAAAATCCTCCTTGTTTCTCAAACTTACTTCATCTCCCACCCCACCTCCACTTCTCCAGCATGTAAGTAAAAGGCATTGTTCCAACAATCGTTAGCGCTTGTTTGAGCAGAAAGTTGATTTCATTTTCTAAAGAGACAAGTAGTTAAGGTAATGGTTATTGTAGCAATTAGTATCTGATTAAACAACTAAAGTTGGTTCCTTTTACAGCTAATGCTTACATCTGGCTTGAATTACAGATTTTCACTAAGGAAAAAGTGGAAGGAACAATACTATTGAAAAAAACATGAGAAAAGATCACTTAAGCATAGTAAGCAGTTTTGCCTCTCTTTCTTTTCCCTCAACTGCTTAAACAACCTTACCCTTTGGTATTTACATGTCATTATCCTCCACTGAAAACCTTCCCAGGTTCTGGGGAATTTTGAGCTGAGGACTTTGGTACATCTCAATCCTTATAAGGTAATAATCAGAGAAGCCAGACAAACAGCATTATAATGGGGACCTACCTACATTGCCCACCCAATATTCACTTAAATGGGAGATGTAAATCTTAAAGCTTGAGTTCCATTTCAACTGCTAAATACATACCTTGGCAGAGATATGCACAGATCCATGCAACAGAAATTGAAAATACTATTAGAGAGTCATCCAAATGAACTATGGAGATGTGGGGATGAGTTCTTCAGTACTGAAGGCAATGAAGTGCTAGCTATTTGTTTCTAAATTATGTAGTGGCATAATAAATCATAGAATCATAGAGTCATAGAACTATAGAATGTTTTAGGTTGGAAAGGACCTCTAGAGGCCACCTAGCCCAAACCCCGTGCAGTGAGCAGGGACATCTTCAACTTGACGAGGTAGCTCACAGCCCCAGTAGTGTTCCTTGCTTCATTACGTGATTTGGGAACAAAACAGTATTTCTGGTCAGCTGGTGGGATAGGATCTTCAGAAGCCTGTTAGTTGCTCACTCAGCTTGCAAACATGATCTTCTGCTGCAAAGTAAGGCCCACAAGTGTTTTGACATAAATATATAATATTTATGCATTTATTTACCTTCATCCTCTTGGAAAGTTGGCTCTAGGAGGTCAAGAGATTTCAAGTGCTCAGGAGTGGCGGCAGAAAGTGACATAATTTCACCCACTGCCTCATGGAAGCCCTCATTGGCACCATCTCTCAGCAGGTAGGGCTGCACCGAGTACGCCATGTCGTATTCGATGTGGCCCATCTCATGGTGTGCAGTCAGGAAGTCGTCCATGGTCACTTTGGTGCACATCTTGATCCTGAGCAAAGTGTTTGTGGTCAGACAGATGGTGGCCCAGCCAGATTCTGGCTGAGCTCTGCCTGCTGCAACTGCAGGGCAAAGCAGCCTCCTAAGCTCGCAAATGCCCTGAGCGAACCCGGGCAGCCGCATCCTAGCATGGGCCACAGTTTCTCCTGCACGAATGAGGCTTGGAGGGGAACTTGGGAAAGGACTGTCAGCCACCCTGAAATTGTGATGGGAGTAAGAGAAAATTGCTGTTTTGTGAGAAGCAACTGCTCTCTGAAACTTGGCAATAAACTCACTGTCATGTTGGAGTGAGCACCCACCATCAAACTTAAGCAGACAGTAGTATAAAAAAACTTGTGTGTCACTGGTCCTGCTACTTCATCCTCATGTAGGCACTATTTAATAAAGGAATTTCTACCAAACAGGGTTTCCTTTCACCTTCCCCAGACAGCTGAAGTGTGACCTCAGCTGGTTGCCACCCAGGGACCCTGTGCCATTGCTGCAGAATGTGCAGGTGTTGACAAATCCCACTGGCATCCACAAGCACCCACATTTGTGCTTATTCCTTAAGCTCTAGAACATAGTCATTGTTTATTTAATTCATACAAATAATAGTCACTTCTCTGCTTAAATTTGAGAGTAGTCCTTAGGTTTTCAGAGGAAAAGTTGCACAGAAAGGTTTACAGTCCCACAGGATCCCTGCTCTCTTGTCTTCCTTTCCCCTCATAACAACCAGAAAAAGTTAATAAATAATGAAAAATTTTAACTTAAACCAGCACCTTTAGTGAAATATATGAATGTTCTAAGAGATGGTATAAAAAGGGGTCATAGTAATCGCAGTACCTGTAGTCATTTTTCCCCAGATCCCATGCCGTAGGATGGCAGACAACACTCCTGCCGTCGGTCGGCTCTGTGAGCATGGAGTTATTCCAGAAGCCCTCGGTCATTTCATAAAGGCCGACGGAGGTGAAGAAGGCCTCAGCGGCTTTGAATATTTTCACCGCATCCCATTTCTGGAAGAGAAAACGCAGCCATTAACCGCTGCTTCTGCACAGAGCCTGCTCCCGACGGCTGGCTTAACTCAGGGCAGCTGACTTCTTATGCATCTCCCAGGGACTTCAGAGCAGCACCTGGCTTACTGAGGGTGAGACGATAGCATCTGCCTTCATCACTTCTGTAAATTCTGCTGGGAATTGGAATTAAGTGTTTTCCCCACAAACAAAATAGGCTTCTGCACTCAGAGGTTCAGAAGATAGCGCCTGACCCAGACCAGAGAATCCCTCAGTAAAAGATAAGGCGGAAAAGATAAAAAAGATATTCTTCTCAGTAGCACGTCTGAACTGGGATCCGACCCTTTAGCCACTTCAGCTGCGGATAACTTGTTTGAGGGAGTGGGGCTGCACTCCTAGCAGATGAGCATGAGAGGAGATCTCGGCCAGAACCCTGCAAGTGTACCTAAAGGAGCTGCTTATTGGATTGTAACTGCACATTAATGCCCAGAATATTTTCAAACATCATTCAGCAGTTTTATGATTCTACATAGCAGGAAGTCTGCATTTTCCTGACTGAGTTTTCACAGAGATTTAGGTGGCAGACAGCTCGGTTGGATGGGAATCCCAAATTGGGCACATCCACTAACAAGGAAGAGTCCAGCCACTTCCCCGAGGCTCTGGAAGTAATGCTTCCCTCCCCACAGTGGTACTTCAATATATACAAATCTAAGGCTACAAGTGGGTCAGTACTGTAAAACAGGGGTAAGGTTAATGCAGACTTGTTCAAACTGCTTATGAATCAAATCTAGTTACTCCTCTCTTGCCAGCATAACATTTGCATGGCGTGCTCCCTGTGAGAGGAGGGTAGATTTCAGGTGAATAACCACATTCCAAAAACCGAATTCCACCAATCACTTTTTGGTTTATAAAAGGAGTGATGTTTAGGCAAGCATACAAAGAGTTATATCTTCATCCATGTTCTCAGTCTGGTAAAGGTGCTGTGATGGCTGTTAGCACTACAGATCTCAAACACAGACCTTATGGTACTATGCAGTTATCAAAAGATAACAGGCAGCATAGCAGTTTCCTAGCTGTTGCCAAATAAACAAGACTGACAAAAAAACCCTGTGATATACAAACTATTTGATTATGGTAATGGCTGGCAAAGGTCATATTTGATACCAGCCAACTCCATGGGTCCTGAAATATTTATATGTAGAAATATAACTCTTAATGGTCAGATGTCTCTGAGGAAAACAGACTTGAAGCTGAGATTAAGCCAGTCAAAGAGGGTGGAGAAGAAAGAGAGGAAAACAGCCAAAGGAAAAGGTACAGTGGAAAATGTATGAACACATTAAGGTGAAGAGCAAAAAAGCAATGCTTTGCTGGCGGTGTGTCTGCCTTAGGGCAGCTATGGTTTTCTAGACAACATGTGGTGTGTAATTTTTGTATCATCTAGATTTGTTACATAATTCATATTGCATAAAGGCATGTCTGTCTTACCTTTTGAACCATTGCAGAAGTTACATCAATATTTGGTTTGGCTGGATAGGGAACAGCCAAGGAATACAGATTTGTCCAAAACCTACCCCACATATCACCTTCAAAAAAGAGAGAAAGATAGAAATAATTTAAATGATTGGTTCTGTATTGTTCAAAAGTGCCAGACAGTTCTATAAATTGTGCAGTGTCATGAACAGGGACTTCTACATGCCCAGACAGGTCTGATCCAGATGTGGAGGAGAGCAGCTCTGGTAAGTCCTGCATAGGTCAAACTCAGGTCTCAGATCCTTTAATTCCCCAAGATCAACTACATTTGTACAATACTGTTACAGGACTGATCATCTTCCTAAAGGGCTATTCAGAGTGAATGCTAAATTGTTAGTCCACGTGATTGCCCTTGCCATATTCATGTACATTACAGTCACAGCAGCTTGATGTTGCATGCTTTGAAAGCAAAGTCATGAAATGTGGAACTTAGGATAAGACATAAAAGGAAAAAAGTCTCTCTGAAACTCTCATTTCTATGGAAGACAAGTGCTGCAGTGAGGAGGGAAATGTCCCAGCCCAGTGCTGGAGTTTTGAGCCAGGTGCCACCAACTCTGGCGAGGATGGAGATGCCTGCCTTCCCCACCTGCCTCTGCTGCTAAGCACCTGCGTCATTTCTGCCAGGAACAACTTCTCCATTTCTCCTCTCCCCTTCTCTTATCTGTAACCTGTTTGTCAATATACTGATTAAACAGGCAGATTACTCTGTTCTCATGCGCCTTGAAGGCGACTGTCCTGTGTACAAAGTCAGGCTCGCACGACACGGCCGCATTGACGTACCCAGCAAATGGGCAGGGAGGCATCCTGTGTCACTGATGAGCTCGGGACCATAGACCTGCTCCAGCCGGTGCCTCACGTAGGCATGCAGCTGCTGGTACAGGGGTTTTATCTGGAAGCAGAGCAGGAGAAGGAAATGAATTATTATCTCTTTGCTCTATGCCACTCATCCCTCCTGAACAAAGAGCTTCGAAGCTGTGTCTGATGAAAACCTCCCAGCAGCTAAGTGCACCACAAATCTGCAGTGGAGCTTTGTCCGCTGCCTCTGAGCTCAAGTGCTGAGTCGAGATGGTAGCCCCAGAAGTTCCTGCTCAGGTATGAGGGAGGGAGCACTGCTAACTTTAGACACGGAGTATCAAGGATGCCATCTACGCCATGGGAAACACACGGCCTCCTATGGGCCCTACCTGGAGGAGAGACATGAATCTGCAGAGTTCCCTCTTTCCCTCCCTTCAGCACAGTGCAGCCTGGGGGGACTAAGCTGGTCCTTGAATGGCTGCAGAGGTAAAAACACCATGTATGTCCCCCAGTGTCTGTTAACCCCATGTAGACTAAGATTAGCCAGTTTAGAGCAGGTCTCGTCTTCCTTCACAACACTGACACGTGAGTCCATAATCACAAAACACAATGCTGTGGCCCAGGTGAGAGCTTCTTCCTGCCCCTACCTGCTCAAATGTCTTCTCCACATCTTCAATCACCTGGTCACGGCTGTATATGTATTCTTCTGGATAGTCTGCTTCATAATTTGCTCTCCAGTAATCTCCATAGTCAGAATAATCTGTAAGCATGGACACATCACATCAGGACACGGCACATGGCACTGCTCAGTTCTGTAGAGCAGTGCAGTTCCCTGTTGACCCCATTCAGACCCATAGCCTTTCCCCCAAAGCAAAACAATGAAGTGTGAGATGCTCTGGATCTAGAGGGGAGAGAGTGCTCCACCAAGGCTCTGTCCCATGGACGTGCAGGTATGGGAGATTTCCAAGAAATGTGGAAATTGCAGTCACGGTTATCTGCTAACTGGCATCATTTCAGCTGGAGATAGAGGTCAAAGCAAAACTTCTCTCCTGACTGGAGCTCCTGCAGGCATGAGGGAGGGCAGCCTGGGCTCAGGCTGGATGCTAAGCGGTTCTCACAGAAGGTGTGTGCTGGTGCACATTGAATATGGGCCCCCTCCTCCATCAACAAAACCACAAGGGCAGGTGTAGACACCAGGACTGAAATTCAGCTCACAGGTTCACTAAGTCTTCCAGTTCACTGAGCTCCACCAAGCCTGGTGTAGAAATGGCTCATAGCTGAGGTCTCTTGCTTATTGGTATGAGGGAAGGTAATAATGAACATTTCTTCATGTTTTGGTTTTTCCTGTCTAACCACTTGGACTATTATTTCTTATTCCTGGTGTCTAGCTCCAGCTTGATAGTTTTCACAAAACAAGGAGTATAGGAAAGCAGGTGTTACAGCTGCAGTTTAGCCAAGAGACAGATGACGTAGCTACTTCAGAAGCTATTTTAGAAGACTCCCAAAAAAAATTAGCAGCCACCTTCCATTGTTCCTTGAAAAGAAAATTCCCTATGATTTGTGCAGAGATCCCTGGCTGGAAGCACACTTCCCTGAGTGCAAAATACATTTGAAGCACCTGGCTGCATCTGCTGGCCCACGCTTACCAAATCTGATCATTCCAGTTAGGGCATAATGCTTATAAATGTACCACTGGTGCAAGAAGGACAAGGCTGACAGAAAAGCGAAGTCACCAAGACTCATCAGCACTTAGAAGTTGTTTAAACTGAGCATGCTTGCCCATACATCGCAAGCAGCGCAGTTCTGGATAAGGCAGTATGTAATGAAGAGCATTCGGGAAAGGTGCCAACAAAGACATTCTCCTTGTGTCCTAGGCTGGTGACATACCTCTGGTCTGGTCCTTGGCACCTGTCTGCACTACCTCTCACTTTGCAATGTGCACACCAAGAGCAAATTATATGCAAAGTGCTGCTCATCTCATGTGTAAAAAAGTATGGGGTTTGAATCCCTGTGCAAATTGTGCAAGACTGCGGTATGTTTGTTAATTTCTGGAAGCCAGAAAAAAAGAAAAAAACATATGACTTACTATTAAGCTTTGCAACCTCGTTTTTAAGCTCAACATACTCTTCGTATAATGGTCTCATTGTCCTGCCTACACCAGCTCTCCAGCCTTCCCAGGCCCACAGTCTCTCATTATAATCAGTGCTGTTAGCCATAATAGTGTCCAGACCTGTCAGAACAAAAATATAAACAATAAGCCTTGAAAAAGCAGAATCTCTTCACTTTTCTTTCACAGCAGGCAAATGAACCAAAAGCGAAAAGAAATGTAATAAACTAAGAAGAAAACACTTTATGTTCGATATACTGAAATATCCCTTTATTTTATTGCATCCTTTTCTGATTAAAGGTTTTCCCCTTCTTCTCTTTAAAACACACGGGGCAGACCATCGTGCCCTTAAATGCTTTCTCTGCATTAGCTCATCTGAAGTTGGCAGTGTTCCTGGGACTGGACTCACTGCAACGCTGAGTCTAACAAGACTTTGATGACAGTGGAAAAAAATAGATTTTCTGTGATGTAGGCAAACCCCGGGTGACAGGCAGGCTGTCAAGCAAACTGAGCAGCCCTCTCCAAATTTTGTCTACCACAAGTAGGAGACAGTATGTCGCACGAGCAGCAGGCCTGTTGGAGGTCCCTGAATTGTAAGGTGCAATTAAATTATGACTAGGCTTCAGATAGCTGGATATAGCTATTGAAACTATAGCCTGTTCTCTCGCAGTCAGGAGCTGCCCTTGGGCTTTTTCTTTTTGAACCATCAGTGTAAAGGACGCAGTAGGGACAGTGGTTCGTACCGTACCTGGCTCCAGCACCAAACACTCAGACGGTTCGGTGATTTTACAGACGGTCCCGGTGCTGTAGATGGTACTCATTGTATTTAGCACAGTGCTCAGCTGCAAGTTAGATGCGAGATAGCCCGTTAGAAACCCACTCTGTGCAAAATAACAGCCAATATTATGCTAATTCCTTAAAAGCTCAATTCAACACTTCACCCACCAGCTTAACATTTCAGCTTATGTTTAAGCTCAGCAGAGATTAATGAAAGAATTTGCCTAAATGCATTGCTGAACCAGGGCCTAGCTGGAAAAGACAGATAATCTCCCAAATATATGACGTAATATACAGGTCCTTAATATCCAGTCAGATAGAGCTCTGGATTTAATGAGCACAGACTGTCATGAGAGAGCTATCAATACACAGCAGCAATAAAACAATAACGTTCAGCAGTGCGCTTCCATAAGCATGGACCCACCTAAAATTTCCAGGTAGGTTGTGGTTTTGAATGGCAGCAAAAAGGGCTCCTTCTGCAGATGCTGCCAGGCTGAATGTTACTGCTTGTGAGGTTTAGCATCACATTACACTGATTGCATAGAACTCTTTATACTCCATTATAGAGCAGTTACAGACCATGTCTTGGGTCAGCTGGAGGCCAAACGCATCTGAAATCACTCAGCTCTATCTCAAAAGCTATGCTACATGGCTCTGGTTTTATTTTTTTTTATGTTTTCAGGTTTTCATACCTCAGGAAAAACACGCACCACTTTTAGCTTTTCCTTTAGGATTATGTTATTTCTCACTTAAAGCTTTAAATCAGAACTATGTAGAGCTCTCAGTGGGAGGGGTGGTTAATGACTAGCTCTAACTTTATCTCTGTCAGCATTAAAATAAATAGATACCCTGGGAAATTTTTGTATCACTGAAGAATATTTAAATATTCCTATGGAATCCCATCAGACTGTAGAAAAAGTCACTTTCCAAGCAAGAATCAACAATTTCAGCCCCAAAGGCCATTTATCTAGGAAACTACAAGTGTCTAAACAGGGAGGATACTGAAGAAAATACCTCTTCAACAGAGACAGCGTTACCATCAGGGCACTGCAGTACTCCAAAATAAATATAAGTTTGCATGAACTGTCAGCATTCCCACCAAGGTAATCTGTCTTTCCAGAAACACATCTCATTTGGATCAGACAGGAGGTCCAGCCAGTGTGCTGCTTTTCTTGCACAGTGGTTAACACTGCTGATCTTAGCAGAAATATCTCAGGGTCCTTCTATAATCAGGACCATAGGATCCTCTAACTCAGTGCTATGTTTCAATTTGATGTCCAGCAAAAGGAAACTAATTTAACTCTCAAGTGTCTGGTTATAAATCTTTTTTGAATCTGCATAGCTGCTCACTCCAATTCCACACGTAGTTATTATCCATATACATGCTTTTTACATGAACTTGTCAGTGGAAATATCAAATCTCGCTATGAATCTTGCTGGTCTTCAGCAGCTTTCTGTGGAAGAGGGTCACCAATCCTCCCCATTTTCAGGTATCCCAGGGTGCCCGCTGCACAGAAACATCCCCTCTTTTTGACAGTTTGGTAATGCAATAAATGCAGAGAAAGAAAGACTGCCTCCACCTCCACCTTTTTGACTCCTTGAACGTCCTTTGACCCATCTCTTTCTGCTCATTGCCCTAGGTCTGGACTCAGCCAAGCATTTACCACAGGTCCTCTTTTCCTCCTATGACTAATCCAGCCGTTTGTGCAAGGACAACTCTGAGGCGTGTGTGCGCTTGATATTCATCGCACGGATTACATGGAAAAACTGCTGACTTGAATGGGAACCCTTTTCCTAAAGCAGACCACCCCTCCAGTGGTGAGGGCCGTGAGCACTTTGTACTGGTACACTCCCCATACCAGTGCTGGGAGACAGCATGATCCCGAGACAAGCAAGGCAGCGACAGCGCCGTGCCCTTGCTCAGGGGTGTTGTGGGAGGCAGCCCAACTCACCCGACAGAAATGAGCTACATCCAGCAACTTACTCTGCTGTATTTTTCCGGTGACAGCACAGATGATCCTCTGTCCTGGAGAGCCTGGATCTGGAGCCTGGTGAGAGCATCCTGGATGCTGGCTAATGGGAAGCTGCTGGCGTTCCTGGAGGCCTCGTCGTAAAACGTGGACCACTTGGCACTCGCCTCGTTCTGAAAGGGGTTCACACAAACCCTGGATTACTCCGCCTAAAGGGTGCAGCAGCCTGATGTACTCAGTGGGCAAAAGTGTTACTGCTGGGAAGAACTTCATTTGTAGAGACCACCTGGGCATGGCGGGTTGAGCACTTGCACTGCACAGTGAAATGGCTGGGGAACTTTTTGGCTTTGTTTTATTCACACATCCAGATAACCATTTTTCTTTGGAAACAAACAGCAAAAAGCAGGACGGTCTCTCCTCACACCATGCTTGTTCTAATCAATCCAGCGTCACTTAGCTGTGTTCCCTGCTACTCTAAGTCACCACATGTTCTTCCCCTAGTGCTTTTCCTCACCCACCTGTGCCTAACAGAAACCAGATACAAGCCAGGGCACAAGAGGTCTGTGACTCAGATGTCATTCGCCTTTTCTGCTTCAGCAGCAGTGACAGACAGCAGCCGAGATACTGATACAGAGCCTTTTCTCTATGCAAATACCACTTTCTCCTGAAGTTTTGGTAAACAAAAGATTATACTTTGGCATAGGAGGCTCTATAGAGGTGCCTAAATTGGGCATGCAAAACCTCAGTGTTTGGCATGAGATTGCTTTCACCGCTGCTCCAGTTACACACCATGACACAGGAAACTCCCAAATTTCAGTGCACAAAGCAGCACCATAAGAACATTATTTGGATTTGGGACTGTCTTCTTCCTATTCACCTTTTTTAATGTGTTTCTACATAGTTTAGCACATCAGCACTCACCCCAAATGGCAACAAGAACAGTACTAATTAACCTGGGTTCTTGGGCCAGTTTAATTAATTATGCTCATGCCAAAGCTTCCCAGGTTGTGGAGAGGGCACCTGTAACTCCTGTCCCTCCCTGCTGAGGCATCAGGAAACACAAATGTCATACTGTGCTTGAAGAGCTCTTTCAGGAGCTTGATAACCACCCAGAGGAAGAGCATCACTGTGTAAATTTGTTTCTGAAGTCCTTGTCCTGAGCAGGGACGGAGAGGTGTCTTAGGAGCAGCAGGGCAGAGCAGGGGGGTTCTTCAGCTACAAAAGCCAGTGGAAAGAAGTTAGCTGTCTGATTTTTCCCCAATTACAGGAACTCACTGATAAGTCAGAGGAATAGTTACAGGGTTTGTAGCCCAATTTACACGGAAAATAGATGGGAAAGAGCCAGAAGGGACAGTATTCATTAACTCTGCTCCTCCAGTAGAAAGGAAGGAGGGGAAGCAGTGGGTTTATTACCAGCACTACTGAAGAGATCAAGTGAGAGAAAATGTCCTCTCTGAGCACTAGACTAATTGGTTCTTATTGCTGGTATCTCCTAACGTATTTTATTATCATCTCATTAATGCTGAAAGTACTATACGGGGCTTTCACTGTATGTGTTTGGAAACGTTACAATTTAAGTACCTGGTGCCTCAGAAACCATTCCAGATTGACAATGATTAGTCATTAGGATTTCTTCCAGCAACCAGTCTCTTTGCTTTAATTAAGAAATACGATGATTAAACCATGTTTTAATTAGTCTATAAGACCACTAAGTGGAAGACTTAAAACTATTACACAAAAGCAGGTGTGGGATGTTTGGCCTCCTTTTTATGCTCCAAACTGTTTATCTCTAAAGTCTGAGTTAACTTTAAAACAAACATAGCTACAAAATTTAAGGTGGTTTTGTTCATTTTGAAAGGCTGCAAGGTTAGGAGAGGCTAGGCTGAGGCATGACAGTAATCAGCCAGCTCATGGCTGCCTGCCCTTGATAAACGCATTACTTGCCTAGAGACCTCGTTGGCTGGGACAGCCAGAGGTTGGTGTTGAGAAGAAGGGAGAACTGTGTTGCAAGATAGCATGAAGGAAAATGTTGTCGTCCTTCATCCTGATAGAAATTTACTTTCAAACCAATGTACTAGACCACCACACTGCAAACTCCACTGCTAGGTTTTGGAAACCCGTGATCTCACTTCATTTTTCCCAGTTTAATACTTCCAGGCAGTCTACCAACAGCCCTGACTATGAGAAGAGCGATAGGGGACAGTGGGGAAGGTCCCCCAACTGGGTAAAGGGTGTGGACCACTATATAAAACCATCAGCAAACATTTAATAAAATGCCTACATTCAGAAAATATTGGCATATTCATTGAGAAGTAAAACAACTTCAGCAACAGAGAAGACAGAGTGCTGTCCGTGTCAGTAAAAAGCCCAGTGTTAGTTCAGTTGTACGAAAAGCAGGAGACCTGAGCTCATTATGGGTGCAAGATTCAAATCCCGTTCCCTTGCATTGCAGGGCAGCACCTAGCTCTGGCCCTGGGAGCAGGCCATCCCCTCGGGGCTGAGCCCTCTCCATGAGGAACGGGACCCCGCACAGGAACACCACGCCGGGAGGCACTGGTGGTGGTGGGACACAAGCGGAGGAAGGTGTCTCTCTCCATCCAGCTCAGATTTTGGGGATGAACATGCTTGGCCCCTCACTTTTTTCATCCCCTCACTGGGGTGACGTGAGGTGATGGCTTGGGACAAGTCCAGACTCCGGCCATCCCCATGCAGTGCAAGGGCAGCCCAGACACCAGCCCTAGGCTGTAGAGCCTGGTAGTGGTCCAGGTATCTCCAGTGAGGAGGCACTGCTATGTTAAAGCAAGCCCCTCTACCCTCCTGAAACTAAACTACAGCCACCAACCAAGTAGCACTCAAATTTCAGCCACCCACAGTGAAACCAAAATAAACTAGAAAGCAGCTGTCAGATTCCTAAAACAACAGTAAAACCCACAGGATGAAGCACTTACCATTTTCCTGGCAGTCTCCTCGGTGATGTTGGTGTTGTAATTCCAAGAGGCAATGGACATCTCATAGCTAATGTCTTCTGCCCTCCTGTTAAACTCTTCTAGAAACAGTTGGGCTTGTTGCGTGACATCCTGAGGGGTCACAACAGCGCTCAGACCACAGAGAAGCCAGAGGTGGACCAACATATTCATGTTTGGGCTGAGAACGTCCCAACGAAGTAGGTTTCCTCAGGTAAGCTTCTCTGTTGGACTCTGTCACATCAGCCTTCAAACACGGCTAGCGTCAAGAAAAAAGGCTGAATCCAATTTTACAGGCCTTTTATAGGTATTATCCATTGTAGGAGAGAAAGGAAAAAGTTTTTTATAAAAAGCCAAATAAACAAAAGTCAATGATTAACTTTGGAAAAACATAATTACTCCTGCCACTTTATGGCCTTCTTATAAAAGGCTTTTACTTTTGGTTAATGTTTCCCAAATGTGCTGTCAATGATACAGCAGGTCACTTTATCTACAGTCTGCCCGTGTCTTTGGTAGCTCAGAATCTGCGAATCCTTTAACAGGTTGGTGATAAGCTGTAAAAATATTTAGAAACTTCACTGAAACACGAAGCCATGAACTTTAACTCCCAGGCAGGAAGAAACCCCAGTTAGCCTGACATGGGGCACCTGGCTAGGTGTTTAGGCCCACGTTTTAAAAGGCTTTGCAAAGCCCAAGTGATCTGGAGAATGTACCTCGTTTTCAAACAAACTGGGGCACGCAAAACCAGATTTTGAAGCATGTTCACTGAAAAATCAAGAAGTAGCATGAGACTTTGTGGGTTCATAGCATCTTGCGCAGAGACCTAATCTGAACTCTAAATCCACTGGACTTATGTACTAAGGTGACTAAGACTACCAAAATGACTCCATTTTAATATATAAATACCTTTGCTAATCTAGCTAGGAACCTAGCACTTACTGCAAATCAATGGCAAAATCAATACATGAATTAGTTCTGGAAATGCAGCTTGGGTTGAGTGTTATTGACCTGACAATACCTTAGTACTCTTGAAATTAGGCTATTTCTGCACTGAATCACTTGGTTGGTTTTGTCTGGGGTTTGTTTCTTGGGGAGGGGGTGGAGCATTTGAGACACAACTCAGCAGCCACATCCATGGGTTGGTTTCCAGTTCCCCGCAGAACTTCTCCAAAGCCACTATGAGTCTGTCTAGACGGGAGCAGTAGCCCCTTCATTGCCAAAGCCCAAGAAAGGAGTTCCAGTCCTCCCACTTCCGACAGGCTGAACGCAGCATGGCCTCAGCAGGGCCAACAGCAACAGGAATCCCCAGCAAGCAGAGCCAGAAACCAGGGACCTTGAGGAAGCACCTTGCTTTAGTATCTTCTGATACCCATGTCCTGTCGTCCACGGACAAGTGATCTCTGTCATCCATGTGCAATCCTCTAACAACCTTTGTTTTCCGAGGGAAAACCAACAACCTTCACACAGAATCACAGAATCACAGAACGGTAGGGACTGGAAGGAACCTCTGTGGATCATCTAGTCCAACCCCCCTGCCAAAGCAGGGTCACCTACAGCAAGCTGCACAGGACCTTGTCCAGGCAGGTCTTGAATATCTCCAGAGAAGGAGACTCCACAACCTCCCTGGGAAACCTGTTCCAGTGCTCCGTCACCCTCAGAGTGAAGAAGTTCATTCAGCCCTGCCCCAGAGGTCATGTTCCCCAAATTGCATGTTAATCTTCTTGGTACCATCCAGACCCTCCACAATTTTTTCTTCCTCAGCGATGGTGTCCACATCTGATCATCACCACAACCTTATCAATGATCAGTAGTGCAATCACTGTCTGCATCTTACATGCTGTACCTTGCTGATACACAACTTATTTCTGGTGACCTTAGCCAACATTGACTCATATTCCAGTTGTGACCTTTCTGGCAGCACTGCTGCCTGCTCAGCTGTTCCTCTTTTTCTCGTTCTAGGGTGGCCTTAAGTGCATTTTCAATTTGTGCGGGCTGAAGTCCATTGCACTGATTTCAGACCATTTTTCCAATTTTTATGATCATTTGGAATGGTAATCATTCAGAGGACTCCCAGCTTGGCAATGCCTGCAAACCTGTCAATAGATAGGCTTTCTCTTCCCACATCCAGATCATACGGGATATAGCAAGACCCAGGCGAACTATCACTTAAAATGGCCCCTCTTCTTGACTGAGAACCGTGGAGTCTGTTTTTGAAGTAATTACATGCCTTCTGTGATTCTTGTCTAGCCCATTATTCCTTAATTTGCCAGTGAGACTGTCACGTGGTGAAATGTTGAAAGGGTTTTGTGCCATTTTTTCATCTGTTGTGTGTCAAAGCAGAGACTTTTGTCTATTATCACCTTGATATGATTTCTTCTGCTCCAATAGAGAACAGGGACTATGTTGACTATTTGCTTTAACTCCTTTATTTTCTGTTCTATGCTGATAAGTTAACCGCACAATCACTAGATTCAATACATTTTAGGGTACCAAAACAGGGCTGGCTGATCCAAAATTCCCTTTTTTGCAGGCAGGTGTTCTTTTTTCCCCTTTTGCAGTGCTCTGATGCCTTGCTCAGGGGCAGCTCTGATGGCGGTCATCTCCCTGCCATGGTGCAGGAGTCACCTGTGCTCCCCATGCCGCCTGCCTATGCACAGCCCCGAAACCCCGAGGGGTGCCTGCAGGACCCAGGGGCCCCCAAGCAGTGGGGTACTTGGGGGATACCTGGAGGGGAGAGAGGGGCGCCGCGTCATTTCATACAGGGAGTGCATCTGCACAAGCATTTAAGTGTGTGTGCAAGCATTGTGGTGAGCTGAAAAATGTAGCAGGGAGTGTCACACTGAATTATGCTGCAAATTTTCAGCCTTATTTCTAAGTTCTTTCCTATGACATACCTAAATGCGATACTAGAGATCATATCTGAGGAATAATACGAGAATTACACTGCACCTTTCTTGCCACTGCCTTAACACAAGAGAAAAAACTTTAAATTTTGAGATGAATTAGCACAAACTCATGTTTTGAAAAACAGTGTTACAACAGTGGGAAGCCACCGGGCTCCATATACATCACCCTTTCATGGATGGATTTGCTCCCATGGAGCAGACACATGGGAGACCGGGAGACCACTGGATACAGACTTGTCTGTGTCAGCCTTACTGCCACGGCAGGCTTTCTGCAGGATGGCCAGGCTCCAAGCTGGGGGTGATTCATGTAGCCTGACACAGTGACACCGGGTCTGCGGGGAGAGGATGCCATCCATTCTCAGGTGAGCTGGGAGCATTTCTTGGGGTGGACCTTCAAGCTGCTCTGGAAAGCTGGCGAGAGTATGGGGACAGTTTGTGCAGCAGCAAAAATGAAGCAGCAAGCAACTGAGAAAAGGAACTACCTCAAGCCTCTTCAGGAAACCCAAACCTCCAGCAAGGGCAGTGAGGCAGCAGCCATGGGGTTTGGGTTATGGCAGAAGAGCAACCAGGAGTTCAAATCTGCTTTTTGATTAAATGTGTTGCTGTATGTGATGGCGGCCAGCCAGCTTGGCTCAGAGCAAAGATGATTATGTCAGTTTGCCACCGTTACAGTGCAAAGGCTGCAGGTATCATGATCGCACAGGCTCGTTCTCCTCCAGTGTGCCAGTCCTCCCCTCCACCCTTCAGGTCTGCAGCATGAGCTGTGGCTCCCAGCTCCCACCTGACACCCCCATTCCGGTAGTCCCCAGTGTCCGAGTTGTCTGACATCTGCTTAAATAGCTGCCCACCAGCGTTCAGCTGTACCCTGGCTCTGTTAGAGCAGTTTTCTGCCTCATCACTCATGTTGTTGGCTGAGCTGTGCTATGAAACTAGGACTGCAATAACAGAGAATTGCATTTAGGGCATGCCTCAATAAGAAACCGCTGTGTTGCGTATTGGGCACCACACATCCTTAAAATTGCTTAAAATACTATTACCAGGCCATTTTTCCAGGCAGGAGCACTGTTAAGCTCTCTGCTATACTTTGTCATTCTGCCCAGAGCACAAAAGACAGACACAAGCATTGCTCGGTGACCAACCTGCAGAGAGGGGCTCTGAAGGGCTGTGGCTGGATGGCACGGGGGCTGCCTGGCCTGGAGCATCCCAGGGGAGGGCGAGC